TTGAGGCTCTGTCTCAAAAAAAAAAAAAAAAAGACAAATACTATCTTTATTGGCTTCAGGAAATATCTACATGTTAGATGAGAACTAAAACAAGAAATTTACATACATGACCTTGTACATATAAGACTAGAAAACTACGCTGTTCTACCTCGAAGGAATGGTGTGATGATAGGGATGGAGAGAGTATTATCATGTGTCTCTTATTACATCTTGATATCCTTTGCAATTTATAAGACTTATTTAATAAAAACAAACTCAAGTAAAAGTGAGTTAAAAAAACCTAAGCTTAAGAGTGTTTACCAACTAAGTCTTTACAAAACAAACCCAACTAAAACCACAAGCCGGGAATGATGGGAGAGGCGGGGCCTCTGTAAAATACTCCTGACCACGCCCACTGTGCTCAAAGCTTCTCACGAATGCCCCGGAAGGCTCTGTCTGAACGCATGCGTAGTAATCTTAGCCTCTGAGGGAAGCCCTGCGGCTGTGGATTTGACCCGGAGAGGCTACCGTCGCGGTGACCCGAACGGCACTAAAGGTTTGCTTCCGGGTGTCTCTTTTTCTTCCCCTTCCCTCCCTCACGCTTGTTCCCCTCCCCCTGCTCCCTTTTCCCTTCGGTTTCGCTCTTTTCGGTCGAGGCCGACCCCTGGGTCCTGAGTCTAGAGTCTGGTTGGTGAAAAAGAGCCCTTATAGCTGGAAGGAGGGACGCGTGGGGAATACTGTTACTTGAGTTATTTGGAGACCAAAATCTTATCTGGGATGTTTTGTGTGTGGAAGGAGGTCTACCCGAGAGACGGGGAGGTGGGAGTGTGGGGGGGTGTGGGGGGCGGGGCTGAGCTGGGTTTGCAGACGAGTAGGACGCACCCGTAAAATAGGTAGCACGGCTGTGGGACGGTTTGTGAGCAAAGGGAAAATGGAGGTATTGTGAACTGGCTTAGCTTTGCTTTAACCGTTTGATCGAAAAATGAATGACCCAGGCGTTGTGGCGGGCGCCTGTAGTCCCAGCTACTCGGGAAGCTGAGGCAAGAAAATCGCCTAAGCCCAGGAATTGAAGGTTGCCGTGAGCTGGACGGCATAGTACTCTACCGAGGGCGATAAAGTGAGACTCTGTCTCTAAAAAAATAAATAAGTAAATAGACTGTGGGTTATTTGGATCGTGGATATTAGGTAGCCGTGTTTTATTCCCAGATTGCTTTATTTCTCTTTACTTTGGGAAGCAAACTTTTGTGTGTTTAAATGTTACAGGCTTTTAGAAAAGTGAATTTACACACGGAAGCAAAGTAATGGCTGGAATATTATCCAGGTGTGGTGGCGGGCACCTATAGTCCCAGCTACGGTCAAGGTTTAGGCAGAAATACTGGAGTTTGAGGTTCCTGGGAGCTAGTCTAAGGCCATGGCACTCTAGCCTGGACAACAGAGCCAGACTCTTGTGTTAAAAAAAAAAGAGAGAGAGGGGCGGTGTTTGTGGCTCAAAGGAGTAGGGCACCGGCCCCATACACCGGAGGTGGGGGGTTCAAACCTGGCCCTGTCCAAAAACTGCAAAAACAAAACAAAACAGAGAGAGTTGCTCCTAAGGGGAACAAGTAATGAAAGGAAAACACCAACATTGAATTAGTTATAAATCAATGCCTGCATTAGGTAGGGGTTTTATTCAAATTAGAGATAACATATAGACAGATTTGCAACGTTAATTAAGGAACACATTAGGTCACAGTACCTTCTTCTATAGATCAGTTCTCTTGATTTCCTAGAACATTATTTTCAATAGCTTCCTATTGCATACTGAATGTTTTCCATGACTTCTCAAACTTTTAAATCTTATTCAGGCCTGTTAGTCTGTAGCAGATGATGAGAATGCTACTAAATCTCGGCATCAGATTCTGGAGAATAAGGAGAGAGAAAATAAGACTATTTGAATAACAGGTAGCAGAGTAGGAATGAGTTTTTTTAGAAAACTGAAATTCCTATTAATTGTGGTTATAATGACTCCAAAGTAATTTTGGTTTTTTGTTCTACGCAGAGGACGAAAGTATGTCCTCCCTTCCTGGATGCATTGGTTTGGATACAGCAACAGCTGCAGTGGAATCTGAAGAGATTGCGGAGCTGCAGCAGGCTGTGGTTGATGAATTAGGTATCTCTATGGAGGAACTTCGACAGTTTATCGATGAAGAGCTGGAGAAGATGGACTGTGTACAGCAGCGCAAGAAGCAGCTAGCAGAATTGGAGACATGGGTAATTCAGAAAGAATCTGAAGTGGCTCATGTTGACCAACTCTTTGATGATGCATCCAGGTGAGGATTAATGAGAAGTAGAAGGAAATCTCTATAAACAGACAGCTTTAGAATATGAGTGTTGGCTAGGCGCCTATAGCTCAACCGGCTAAGGCGCCAGCCACGTACACCTAAGGTGG